ACTACACAAAAATTTAGTAATTTGTTTATTTTTTTTGTTGTTAGGGCATGGTCTTCATTGCCTAAAAACCTTGTGGTATATAGATGAAACCTACATACGATCATACAAAGCCAATTGAGCATTGGAAACCACCTAATATGTTCTACTCAAGCCATAATAATGTATTTTGAATTTGCAGTAGTTATACACAGTTTACTTATACTTACAGTTAATATTTTGGGTGGCTCATGTACTGAGACAACACGAGAATGGACCAAAACTTATAAACTTTGATATCTCAGTCGGTAGGTTTACAGATTATATTCTGTTTCTTGTAGACCACCTGGCAGATTTGACCCAGTCTTTATAACCATCCATATATACGTCACCGAATGGAACTAGTTTAAAAGGAAATCTTATCTGTGAATATTGCCTACAGGCGAGAAAGAGGACATGCTGCCTTTCCCATCCGCCATTTTTTGTTATCGTTACCGCAAAATTTTGCAAATCGCCTTGACGTAACCGTCATGCTATAACACCGTGAATAGGGGACCATAAGTTTACACATTCCATGTGTACGTTCATCAAAATAGTGCGATCTTAACCTCCCTAATAACTGAAATTGTTGACTCAACCAATAGAATCATTCTATGTTTGTTTATATTTGTTCACATTAATATGGAAGAAAATCGGACATTTTGCTCAAAAGATGTTATTGTAAATCTTAGAAATAATGATAAAGGTAGTATACACCACACACTCAATGGTATTGATTGTGGTTTTCAGAGACTCTCAATATGGACTTTAGGCTTGCAATGTTTTTCACAACCTAAATGTGAATGGAAAATATTTAGCGATGCATTTGTATGGGCGATTGGTCATAGGTTGGCGTTTCGATTTTATATGCAAGCTTAATCTCCCTAATGTTAACATTAAGGTAAGAGTGTATGTTACTCAGAACATTTTCTTAGGATAACATTTCTTGAATTGATGAATATGCAAAAAATATTCTTAGCATATCATCCTTCATTTCATTATTTGAATAATCAATCTGGAGATAAACTCAAATAAGGAAGTGTGTTATAACACATCATCATATAGAAACATGTTCAATGTTTTTTCAGAAGCTGGATCAAAATATTTGTCTTACTAAAATTATTGGCAAAGGTACGATGTACTAAATTCTTGTACTGTATTTATGATTTTAATAGCACTGTACCTCGTGAATCATTACTGATAAACAAGATACAGAAAACCTGTTCAAAGTAAATGCTATAATAAGGCATCATAGAAATTATCATAAAGAGAGGTATTTAGAATTTCTTAGCAACTTACACACAGGTTTAACTGCACTCAAACATTAAACAGTCAACTTGACAGGTATTCAGAAATTTTTGGGAAATGCTGTGGTTATGCTCCATTGATTAAACAGGGGATCAAACAGCAGGGGATCAAACAAGTCCAACCATTCATTTATGAAAACATTTTGAACTAACTTTATGGCACACTAATGACATCTTATATGAGTGTGCTGTACTAAAAGCATAGCCCCATTGGATCCCCTTATATTGGATTATCATAATCCTAATCCACGAGGAGTTCCTTATATATTTTAAGTGATGAAACATGTGTTCAAGTACAATGTAACTTTGCATGAAAATTGTAAAAAAAAATGAGGGACGATGGTGAAAATGACGATTGTATTTTGAAAAAAGCTTGTTGATGGGTGGATTAAACATGGCTTATGAGATAATCCAATTGATCTTGAAACCATTCTTTGAATTTTTCTTAAAGATTATACATTGGCCTTTCATATGCATTCATTTTTGTACAGCCAGAAACTACTAGAAAAAAATTATTTACTGTAAAAAATCTGTTGCGATACTTTCCCTCGCTCTTTGAAATGAACAAAAAATGCAACAAATGTTTGGCCAAACCATTGGAGAAAATTATTATTTGCATGTACTCTGTATACAGTGGTACCTGTATCAATACCTACTACATATAACACTATTCGAAAGATCATTTACAGCGAACTCCTTTACATAAGGCACTTTCGAAACCCCCAATATGGTTGATGATAAAGAAAGATACACATGGGAAGAGTTAATTCAAATAAGATGGTATTGAATCATGTTTGTTGAAACATCGCAAATGTGTAATATTTCAAATATTCATTTACACTATACAATTCAAATATATAAACAAGTATTTCCTCTTATGTGTTTTACTAGGTGTTAAACATATTTATGTTTTACTGTACATACTTTACACGACTCAGTCATGTTGACATATCCATGCTCATTTCTATAATACGCAATTATGCAACAATGAATACACAGAGTATCTAGCACTCACCCATGTAGAATATATCATGCCATCTATGGAACATATATAACTCTATCTATAAACATGATTGCATAAAATAGGGTACATCTAAATGTCGCTCTAAGTGACATCTTTTCATACACTTTACACTAAGGTCATGGCCTATGAGGTAAAAATGACAAATGGATTATCAGATAATGCTTATCTCATTTAGATCATTTTTTTCTTTTTGGAAATCAATCATGTGACATAGCTCAATGTTTTCGTGCATTAATCTCATTAAAAAATTGCTACTTTTAGGTAAAAAATTCGGCCTAAAAAAGTTATTGTTTTTGGATTATCCTAATCCCAAAGTAATCAAGTTTTCCTTTTTAGAGGTAGATCATTCCTTACAATAAATTGTAATTTTGCCATAAAAGCTGAAATAAAATGCTGCATTTTTGGTGAAAATTGCGTCCGAAGATGGTTGGATTAGGAACAGCTTAAGAGATAATCCATTCAACTTGATTATTATCCTACTGTCATTTATTGAAGACAAGACATGGATCTAACAGAACCATTTGTTTTTGTGGTTAAAGTATTCTTAGAATTAAAGATATAGCCCTTTGAAAATGGCTTGCCATATCTTACGTGCTCCTTTATCATAAATTTTTGACCTATTGTAATTGAGGAAAAAATTGAGAAAATTTGGAGGTATTTGAATTAAAGTCAAATTACGTTTCCATCAATAGTATAAGTATTTTTATCGCAGGTTAAGTAAATAAAAATGCCAGGGTAAAGAGGCTTTAACATGTAGTTCAATGGGGGAAAAAGGTTGCCAAACTTATGGAGGGGAGTGTATGATGTTATAAAGCAGGCCATTTCATAGTAAAGGGGGTACTCTTGGAATGATTAATGGAGTCTGATATAAATATATCCTCCAAAACAGATGTATTGGAGAATTCATGATTATTAGACAGCCTTTTTTGGAAAAAAACATATTAAATGAAGCCACAAACTTTGTCCTAAAATGTATCTTCCCCATTTCTTAAGTTCTCGCTTTTGACATAGGGGTCGCTCAAAATAATTTGCGGCTAATAATTTCAAACGAAAACGTTGACTCTATTTACATTTTTATTTGTACAATTCAATACTAATACCCAAGGAAACATGTATATTGTTTGTTTGACACACACAACTGTGATAAATTATATCTTATTTGAAATTAAACCAGACTTATTGAACGATTAACGAAAATATGTTATTTTTTATTTCTTTGAAAATTGCTCAGGTTACGAAATGCCAATATAGTTCCAATGATACCGCTTACGGATTTATAAAATATAATGTGTTTCCTCTACAATTCAAGAAATAACCATCGTCATATGAATATTTTAATTTTCTAATTTTGTATTATTTGAAATATCAATTATCATTAATTGGCCCACACATTCAAATTTTGTTATAACTACTAGCGCATTTATAAAACTGCTTAGTTAAGTACAAGTACATGTAACTTCATAGTACATGTAACTTCCTTAAATTAAATTATTGAATCAGTGTTATTTTCGAGTAACGTTCCGATAGTATTGGACTCTATATCTAATAGTGATATTTATCCCACCGTGGGTTCGAGGGGGATAAAGGAAGCCCCCCGTCCGTCCGTCCGTTCGTGTGTCTGTGCGATAACTGAAATACCGAGTGACGGATTCGATTCAAATTTTATAGGCTTATGCCTTACGGATGTAGAACCTCTGCTCGAGAAGGATTTTTTAATATGGCCACTCAATCTTAATTGTACAATAAATACCCACCGTGAAATACCAGTGGGCGGATTTAGTTAATATTTTATATGCTGATGTCTAAAAACAGGCAAATGTACTGAACTTTATTTCGATATATCGGGAAAATGCTCACGTCACAGCAAAATTAAAATTCATTATTTCACTGCCATACTCCTCACTCTCTGATTGGTTCATGTCCTACACTTGACTAATAATTAACAAGCGATATCCATTAATAATTAACAAGCGATATTCATAGGAAGTCACGTGATATCCGTTGAATATCAAATGATATTCATTATTCACCAGTCACGACTTATTCCCATGTACTGAATTATGTAATTTCAATTTTATATCACCCCGGGAGTACATTGTTTATGATAAATTAGACATCAATACTTATTCCATTAATGAGAGTGGGGAATAAAAAAGCAGTGAATATATCTAATTCTCTTTTCGGTGAATACCTGTGACACTTTCACCAGATGATTTCCACTGGCTATAGCCCTTCGGGCTTCGTGAAATATCACTTGTGAAAAATGCACAGGTATATGTATTCACCTCAATAGAATTAAAAATATTTGTATAATACATGATGTTAAGATGAATATCAATTGATATGTGTTAAGTCATGTTACATGTATGTGTTATATATCATTTTATAGACAAATTCTGTCCTAAAAAATAAAAATATGACATATTATGTACTTGTCAAGTAGAGTGTGTTCATGCTTGCTTCTATAAGTATTGTTAACGTACAGGGTGAGCCAAAAATGCCACCAACTAATTTTGGAACTCTCTCAATAATTAAGTAATCTAGTATGTAATTTTGTTGTGTAGATAGAGTGTTCGATGAACAAAGATTGTTGATTATAAGATTATACGATATTTTCATGATAATGAAGCAGAAAATCTATGACAGTACTGTACCTGGATTAGTGTTAGGGTGCATGCCTCCAGATTCTAGATTACCGCTTAGAACTATCAGTAGCGCAGTATGGAAGTGCCTAACAAGTGAATCCCCAACACATATTATATGTTTTAATTTTCTTTTGGCAAACATATTACATGCTGACGTTGTGTCGAAATATGTTATAGGACACTGTTTCGAGCCTGGTTGCCAGACGTATTTCTCGACATGAAGACGCGTTCTTAGGTCAAAACATCCTTTACATTGACACTGGTCGATTGTCATGGTTTCACAATGATTATTAGAACAACATGCTTTTTTAGAGGTTGGGTAGCAAAGTGCACGACGGGGAACACTTGCGGTAACATTGGTCGTTTCTCTGTCTCCGCATTGGCCATTTGCTAGCGTCAATTCACCCTCACTAGGCATGAAAATCATTTTCTTCATTTCTGTATCCTCTCTTGTTCTTTTGACCCATTCACCAATTGACAGACAATCAATGTACTCCTGTTCTGTCATGTGAAGCGAAGCAGAGTTCGATTTGGATCCAATTTTACTCCTTGTAAACTGTATCCAACTCAATCGGTTAAAATTAGTTGTTGGTACCTTCAATAAGTTCGTATTCATTAACAGTATGGTTCCAAAACTCAAAAGTGTCAGAGAGGAAATACATATTTCTAACCGTTTCCAGACCATACTTTTAGTACCAATGGATGTTTGTACCTTGAATGATGGCACTTAATGAGTGCACTTATTAAAACAATGATACTAAAGTTATTGATTTTTATAGAAATTGATTAATTTAAACCAACAGCAAAATGTACAGGGTGACTCAGATAAACATAGCGTTTCAAAAGGTATATGATTCATTTCAGGAATAACGAATCCTGTATCATTTTTATTGGAAATCTAAAATATTTAAATCTTAATCTAAAAGTCCTAAAGCATGGGGTTAGAGGACGAGTACATTATCTGGATGAGTTAGAACACATATGAATACTTTTACATCCAATAAAGAATGATACAAGGTTCTGTATTACAATAACTTTATTGAACGTATGAGAAGCTTGGATTAAATTCTCGTGTTAGTCTTAAATGGTTAAAAATAGACATCTTCTAAAATCTCATAACAAACGAGACTTACCGAGATTTCAAAGCAATATGCAAACGACTCTATTGGCATTAAAGAGAAATCGCGGAAATATACTTGAACTCGGAAATATATACCGTATATATCATTGTTCAACGGTGTAGTTGTACATGTACAGGGTGTCCCGAAAGTAAGCTCTGTTTCGTTTCTTTATTATTCTGATTGTTTATCGCTGACCGACGTCAGACCAATCAGCAATCAGCAGAAAAGAATACAGTTATAACATTAAAATAATGAGTCCAGATTTTATTAATCGCCGTATTTGTAAACACACGCTGACACGAGTCACTCATCACTGGCACGTGAATACAAGGTGATCGGCCAATCACATTCTGATACTCATAGCATCTCTCTCTCTGTTGCATTGCTGAAGGATAGAGATGGAAAGGGCGTGACTAACCACGATTGGCCAATCAATACATTTCAGAATTAGATTAATACGCATGCGCATAGAGAATGTAAACTTCGAAATGAAAGTTTTCAATGTTTTCATCGGATAATTTTTCTTCCGAATACAATATATTTTGTAGTAAATGTTTATTAAGAAGTAAGCAGTCGTACATATAAATATCCGTGTTGATTGAAGACTGAATTTGCAATGAAAAGGAACGAAGATCTGTCTATATCATTTCTCACATTAACCCTTAGCATATTATCGATGCCTTAATTTCCAATAAAAACGCCTAGTAATCCTGCAGAGGACAAATTAAGTGGCCTTAATAATATATACAAGCCGTAACCAAACCAAACTAATGAGGTCGTCCACTGCACATTTAAGCCTCATTTGCTCTATGGCGACCGTATGGCGGCCTTGGCTTCACAAAATTGATATGGAAAAATTAACATCATACTGATCATCTTTATATTTGATTTCTCTCGTTTGTGGGAAGCTACGGACGCTGTACGGTTGCCGTCGATCAAATGTGACAGAGGCATTACATTGCAAACAATGAAGTGTGTTACTTTAAATATCAGGTAACATGAAGTGGGAGGCAAGAGACAGCTTATGTGAGGCGTGCTAGATTACTGTGATTCTGGTGAAATACTACTCAAGACGTTGCGGATTCATCTTGATTCGCAACACAACTTGCGACCATTTGGAAAATGAAAAGCACTCCTGAAATGAAAAAGAAGCTCTTTGATATGTTCCAGGTGATGTGGAGATTTGCAATTTGCTATTCAACTTTTAACATGGTTTTCTAGTGGACATTTTTAGTTATATTAAGATATTTAGTATTTTTACTCGCTCTTCCTTCACATTCATGAGCATTCAAATTCGCGATATTCAGAGAAATAAACTGACGTAAATGATTCAGAAGATAACAACAAGAAAATGCTTGCACCTGTTAAAGTCATTGCGAATGGACGCGAGGCAGTACCTGTTTATTATTGTTAATTACGTTCACGTATTATTACGTATTATAATATTTAAATATTGTCATCACAACTTACATTCTGGTAGTAACTAAAGGCAAGTCATCTTTTTGTACTATGTTATTGTAGGCTGTATGCTGGGATCCTTCCGGTTTCATGACGTTTGATACTTGTAACTACATGATATATTGGAATGGGCTGAACCTTGATAAAAGGTGTGCACGGATGCAGTTTGACTTCTTGGATACAAATGCAGATAGATTGATAAGCAAGGAGGATTTTCCAATGGAATAGTTGACTATACAGTTAACTCAGATAAAGATTGCCACAATCGCTTTTTTGGGCCACTTGTAAACTATTAACAATACAATAGACTATATATCAGTTGACATAATATAAATATTCAGAATTCAATCAAATTAATAAAGAAACCGTTAATTGGAATAGTCTTGCACCTAGTTTGAAATAATCAGTCAGGAGAAATTAACGATTGGACTTGTGGACTTGCATAATACAACTACATGTATATGAAATAAATGGTTTTCGTCGACATTGTACCTTGTAAGTGTCATCGTTTTATTTACGCAATGGTAAAAACTTGTTTACAAAAACAAAAAGTGTATCTATCAAAAATGTATCTATCCTTCGAACAAAAGAATTTTGACATCAATAATTAATGTAAAATATATTATCCAATGTATATTTGGCATTTTCCTCTGGTGTACAGTTTATCTGTTATATATATTAAGGCCAGTCAAATGTCTCTTGTTCTGCAGGCTCTGGTTCTACAGGGACGTCTGCTTTGGAGTTTTTCTTGGACTTTTTCCGTTCCTTTTTAGCATTGTCTTTGGGGACATTTTGCGTTTTTTCAGTTGAATGGTTTTCCTGCTCAGCAGGTTCTGTTTTCTTTGTGGGTTGATCTTCAATGTTATCTTTTGGCGGTACAACCGCCCCATTTTGGTCCATGTCCTTATTTTTTACTTCCTTTTTAGCTTTTATTTTGTCGTCTTTACCAACGTTGCCCTTTTGTTTCGGCTTACTTTCTTTTCGTTTCTTCTTAGCATCTGATTTGGTCCCTTTCTCTTTGGGTGGTATGTTAGTGTGGTTGTTAACCCCGTTGTTGTCGTACACAGGGCTTCCGTTATCATAAGCAGGATTCGTGTATTCCTGGGTATTTTGAGGACCGTCTGGAAGCTGTGGCCCGTTATGATACATAGGGTGATTTGGAGGGTAGAAGTGTTCTGTTACAGGTGCATTCAGATTTTGGCCGTTATACGGGGGTGGAAATCCGGGATAACTGTGACGTGGGTCGTATGGCGGCTGAGCTCTATTTGTGTTTCGTTTTACAATTACAACAGCTATGACGATTGCCACAATAGCAGCAATGACAACCACTCCTCCAACGCTTGCACCAGCGATAATAGCTGTTATCTGAACGCTTGCCTCATTGCTTGCAGTCATTGTCATCGTGGTTGTTGCTGATGGTAAGACTGAGCTAGATATAGGGGTGGTGCCTTCAGGAGGTTCTGTCAAAGGTTTTGATGACGTTTGCAAAGTTGGCGTTACGGTAGTTGTTTTATCTGTGACGGACGTTGTCAATATCTGTTTAGTAGTGGCACCACGCGTCGTCAATTTTTGAGTTGTTATTTCTAGAGTGGTCAGTTCTTGAGTAGTTAGAGCAGCTGTTGTTGGTTGGAACTCAACACAAGGTACGGGACAAGTCGGATTTTTGTCATTATTGTCACAACCTATTTGTTCATAATGCCAGTCACTCCACCAAAACCAGTGATAGCCTCTATGAGCTTTTGGTTCTACGCATTCATTTTGGTCAATCCCGACAATGGAACAAGATTCAGGTTGACACATGTTTCTTTTAACTGACCACATGTCACAACCACAGTTAATCTTACTACCAGTAACTAAAAGTCTTAAACCATTCTTGTAAGTTGGTAAATGACTTAGATGGCACACTCTAAATCCAAACATGGCTGACCCCGACATATCTAGCTCCAGTAAGCTATCTAAACCGCAAAACGCATTCTCGTGGATTTTGATTGGTTTTCGAGAGGCCAGCGTCAACTTTTTAAGACGATGAAGCGTTTCAAAAGCAAATCCTGGAACATTTTCGATTTCATTTTGGCCCAATGCTAGTTCAAGAAGGGAAGTCAGATTTGTAAAGGCAAATAGTGACCATTCCGATAGATTATTATCAGTAAGAAATAGGAATTTCAGTTCAGAGTTTCGCTCAAATGTCCCATTTTCAATGATTGTCAAATTATTTTTGACTAACTCCACTTGTGTTAGGTTCCCCGTATGTTGAAACAAAGTTTGTGGCAATTCTGTTAATCTATTTTCTGACAGTTGTAGAATTCTTAACATTTCTTGATTCTTGAATACGTCATATGGCAAACGTGTTATTCGATTCTTCCATAAACTCAAACGCTCGAGCTTAACAAGTCCCGTGAACGCTTCTTCTGGAATTGTTGTTATTTTGTTATTTGAGAGATCCAAATCACCAAGTTCTGTTAATGGTTTAAAAGAACCCTTAGGAACTTCGGTGAGTTCATTTCCTGAAAAAGTCAACGTCGTAAGGTTGACGAGGCTTTGGAATGCGTTTGGATGAATTGTCTGAATTTTATTTTCGTCTAATCTAAGATATTCCAACGCACCGAGTCCATTGAATGCCCTTTCTGTTATCACTGTCAGGTTATTGCTTTGTATGTTTAATGTTGTTAGATTGTATAAGTTACTGAATGCATTGTCGCCAATATTGCTAATACTACAACGTGTGAAAACAAAGTTCTGAATCTCATCAGCACCTCGGAAAGCATTGGATTGCAGCGTTGTAAGATCGGTATTATAGAAGAAATCAATTGATTTTAAATTGGGGAGTCCCTCAAAAATACCAGTTGGGACTTCTGTAATTTTGTTAATACCGAAGTTCAACAGGTCCCATTCTTCGGTTGAGTTCATTCGAGGTATCTCAATAAATCCCCGATTGCGGCAGTTTATAACTCTTTTTCCATCTTCTTCATAACAGTTACACAATCTGGGCCCTCTTCCAACTGGAGTGCCATCTGGACATTTAAAGTCCAACTCGGGCGTAGTCGGCACTTCATCTGTAGTCATAGCAACTGTCGTTGGTTGGGATTCGACACATGGGACGGGACAAGTCGGATTTTTGTCTTCTGGTGCGCAATCTATTTCCCCATAATGCCAATCACTCCAATGATACCAGTTTTTATTCTTATGCTCTGGAGGCTCTACGCATTCATTTTTGTCAATCCCAACAACGGAACAAGATGTGAGGTTACCTCCATGTGGGCACATGTTTGCTTGGACTGACCACATGTCACAACCACAGTTAATCTTACTACCAGTAACTAAAAGTTTTAAACCATTCTTGTAGGTTGGTAAATGACTAAGATGACACACCCTAATTCCAAACATGGCTGACCCCGACATATCTAGTTCTTGTAAGCTATCTAAACCGCAAAACGCATTCTCGTGGATTTTGATTGGTTTTTGAGAGGCCAGCGTCAACTTTTTAAGACGATGTAGCGTTTCAAAGGCAAACCCTGGAACATTTTCGATTTCATTTTGACCCAATGCTAATTCAAAGAGTGAAGTCAAATTTGTGAAGGCAAACAGAGACCATTCCGAAAGATTATTATCAGTAAGAAACAGGAATTTCAGTTCAACGTTCCGCTCAAATGTCCCATTTTCAATGATTGCCAAAGCATTCTTCACGATCTCAAGCTGCGTAAGGTTTCCGGTGTGATGAAACAAAGTTTGTGGCAATTCTGTTAATCTATTTTCCGACAGTTGCAGAATTCTCAACATGTCTTGATTCTTGAATACGTCACCTGGTAAACGTGTAATTTGATTCTTCCATAAACTCAAACGCTCGAGTTTAACGAGTCCCGTGAACGCTTCTTCTGGAATTGTCGTGATATTGTTATTTGAGAGATCCAGATCACCAAGCTCGGTTAATGGTTTAAAAGAACGTTCGGGAACTTCGGTAAGTTTATTTCCAGAAAATGTCAACGTGGTAAGGTTGACCAGGCTCTGGAAAGCGTTTGGATGAATTGTCTGAATTTTATTTTCGTCTAATCTAAGATATTCCAATGCACCAAGTCCACCAAAGGCTTTTTCTGTTATCTCGGTAAGGCTATTGCTTTGAAGGTTTAGTGTGGTAAGGTTGTATAAGTTACTGAATGCATTGTCGCCGATAATATTGATATTACAGCGTGTGAATTCAAAGTTCTGGATCTCATCAGCACCTCGGAAAGCGTTCGATTGCAGCGTTCTAAGATCAGTATTGAAAAAGAAATCGACAGACTTTAAATTCGGAAGTCCCTCAAAAATTCCAGTCGGGACATCTGTTATTTTGTTTATACCAAAGTTCAACAGGTCCCATTCTTCAGTTGAGTTCATTCTGGGTATCTCCATGAGTCCACGATTGCGGCAATTTATAACCCGAAAGTTACCTTCCTGGTAGCAGTTACATCTCCCGGGTCCGCGACCGGGGTTGGGTGTTCCATCTGGACACGTAATATCCTCTCTATCACATGATATCCCTTGTGTCAACAGCAACAGGAGAAACACGCCCAGCAACGCCATCGAAATAAATCAATCTGAAAAGATTGTACAGGTACATTGATTTGAAACTAGTCGACAAACGAAATATTACTACACTAAAACTTAATATTTTGCAAATGTGGTATACAAGCTGTGTGTTTTATCAATAAAAATATTTCTTATCTTTAAAAAGATTATTTTTTAATGTTATATACTTGAACATGATGCTATTGTTAAAATATTTATGAGGAAATCACAAGGAAGTAAATTAAATGGCCCTAGATAAAGACAATGTACCCCAAAGATTTGGACGACCATAGCAGATTGAAATGATAAAAAACCAAATGTAAGGAATGTGGATAAAATTGTGGTTCTAAAACCATAATAAACCTGAGAGTCAATTAAAGTTTTTTTTATTTTCCAACTCATTTAATTATTTAACAGATCTTTGAAATACATTATCCGTATAGATATACACTGTATAGATTGTGTTATATTGTTGTATGTATAATAGATTAACGATTAACATTCTTCGCACAATTATCTTGAATGTGAGTTATTTCATATAATATTGGGTATCGACCATAATAAACGTTACAATCAGTTTTTATTATTTAATATAACGCAAAAAATAATAACACTCAATGTGGATGATGCGTGGAAATTGCAATATCACCGAAGTTTCATGAGTATTTGAATGAGATATTTGTCTCAAACGATTACGTTTAAACATTCTGTTAATTTTAACATAATTATTGAATAATTACCTTATATTGCGTTGTTTACTTATAAATCATAAACTCTGTTTCCTCAGTGTCCGATAACCATTAATGTGCGGCTGTGGCGAAACATTCTACTGGAATACAAATACTGACGTACATGCCACACATGTCTCACATGGGCGTCAGTGTCAATATATGACATGTTGGAGTTTTCATGATACAATTAGCCCCATCTCTCTTATACTTTAAGATAAATCCACAAGTAGGGTTCTCCCAGAATGCATTCGTACAACCTTGTCCAATCAATTTAAAGTATATAAAGATGAATAAGACATCAAATTGAAGGATGTGTAATTAGATTAGTGGGATAGATATACACTCATTGAGTTGTACAAAATAATGTGATGACACTCAAAGAACTCTCAAAAAATCTTTGAGGGAGGGTCAATGTAAAGGGGAACGTTATCAAAATTGATAAAACTACTTGACTTCGTGGACGTATATCTAGTAAAGCATATTAGCATTGTGTTGTCTGAATTTATTGAACACAAGTAGAATTGTGTAAAATTTGAGCATCATACTGTAGATTTCCTTAGAACACAACTGAACATTAAGTCTATTATCAAGCAAAAATAGATAGAATCTATAAGCATGGTATACACGCCAGAAATAAAATTAAAATGCTAATGGAAGTAAGACAAAGTAAGGGAATTATTGTTGCGTAATTAACTCTTGGCATGGAATGAAATGCAATCAAATTGGTTTTTGGATAATACATGTTTTATTGTACATTATTTGGCCAAAATATTCTTAATTAATTGGTTATAGTGTTAAGTCAGAATAATTAATGTCCAAAACGAAGACGTCAAGCTTGATTTCATGTGACAAGGAATGGTCAAGCTAAAAACAGTGAGATCATATCAAAAATAGCTAACTCTTATTTGGCAGCAAAATAAAAATGATTAAAAGCATTGAAAGTGTTTCAATAAACCTCCGTATCATCGTAGTGCACGTGAACTTGGCAACTTCAAGATAACAATCGATGTAAGTATATATACGTCAACGTAGCTATATAACAATCATGTTTGCAAATCTGAAGACAAAAAAAAACAATTGATTTTATTATTGTTACATTTAAATACATACTTATTTTTTGAAGTGGCCACTACTGATAAAATAAAATGACTCTATGACTTTTGTTATTTTATATTTCCGATTCAGATTGAATCAATATACAGACATCCACCCCCGATCACAGGCTTCAAGATCCAGAATATATTTTTTCTCTGCGTATTCTGGACACCTCCTCTCAGGAGAAGGATGCACAGATGGATGCAACGTAAATCAGAGGTCTAAATTCAAAAAATGTTTTAGGTTCAGGTTGTTCAAGTCTGAACCTTGGCTCAAAGGGCCATTACACAGTACAATGTAGCTGACGCACTGTGATTCTCATCCTTACCCTGAATCGATTTAAACAGCCGGGCGGATCTGAAAACTATCAAGAGGTGGGGGCACATGTTGGGCCCCTAAACCCAAAAATTGGACCCAAATTTTGAAAATTACACAAATACTCGAAAAGGTCCACTAATTCTGGCCCTAAAAATTTAAGGCACCAAAAGGCCCAGTAATGCCAACTAATCGGGGCCCTATATATTTTAATGGGCCAATCCAAGGCTAGGGTGGGGGGGGCAGATCCGCAAGTCAAACTATCATGAAATGTAACTTACAAAAAATGCCTGGGCATAAACTTTAGCCTAGTAGGAGGAATGGAAGAAATCTCGTGTTTTCAAGTTAAATAATTAAGTCTTGCCATGTATAGACCGACGGGGTGTCAACTTTAAGAACTTGGATGTCAACACTGACATCAAGTGTCACATCCGGTAACATTTGTTATATTTTCAAACTACTAGACCATTACCAGAATATATTTTTCCTTTAACCCCAAATCCATATTTGGTGTTATTATGCCCACCACTTTGAAACGGGTTGGCTCTTCAAGAGATACTACCTAAACCTGATATTCATCCATTTGAGACCTTGTATTTCACGAATCTTCTTGAAACCAGGACCCGTTTAATAAAACAAGCAGAAATATGTTTATACGTCTTAGTTCTTTTCTACAAATCTAAACATATCATCGTAGAGATGGAATTTAGATGTTATCAAATCCAATATCAGTAAGCAGCATAAAAATTACTAAAATTGAGATTAAGTTCAATAGGACAGGTTGCTTGCTAGATCTGATTTCGCCTTTAGTCCAGACTACCAGTCAGTCACCTCTATCTCAATTCATCAACACAATTAAGATTTCTATTTTTAAAATGCATTTATTTTGATTGTTACTACATCCCAAAGGTTCATACATAAGTATGGTTTAGACATGCGCAAGTACTTCTGGTGATAACAAGACTTGGAGACAGGTGTAAGACTGTATAAGACTGTTAACTGTATAAGCTACCTGCAAGTTACTGATAAATTATACAGCATTCCATATAAAAGCATGTGAAAACAAATCTGCCTGATATATACTGTACTCATGTGCTTTTGTTTTTAAATAAAAAAAAATTTAAAGAAAGGGAGTCTAAATTCCAAAATTCAGTATAACAAAATGACCCTGCAATGTCCATCAATAATTGGTCCATATTAATACACATAGTTGCTTCAAATCAATTCATTTTATTTAGCTTTACATTGGATTTCACAAGAAAATTCTGGAATTAAACAATAGTTACTGCTCTTAACTATTAAACAGCGGCTACAAAACATTTAACTATGAAATTCTAATGCAAACATTTTTAACATACTAAAACATATGGTTTTAAAAGTACATATGTAGAAAAATAAATTGAATTTCTATCAAGGTTGACATCTAATAAATTGAAGATCTACTCACTTCAGACATACACTCAAGAAAAGCCCAAAAATTTGTATTTAATGCAAACAAAATAGTAACAATGTAAAAATTTACAAATACAACCAAAAAAGTTGAGCTAAATTGTTAACAACTACAATCCGTTATTATCAAATATTATCAAATGCAATTTGTAATGTTAACAAATACAATTTGTAATGTTAACAAATACAATTTGTAATATTAACAACAACAATCTGTTATGTTAACAAACATAATTTGATAATGAGTTAACAAATACATTTTGAAATGTTAACAAATACAGTTTGAATAGTTAATCAATATCATATGTGAGTGTTTTTTAAATGTTAACAACTACAATCTGTAATGTTAACAAACACAATTGTAAATGTTAACAAATACAATGTGTAATAATAACAAATACATTTTGAAATGTTAACAAATACAATTTGAATAGTTAATCGATTTCATATGTAGGTTAACAAATACAATTTGAAATGTTAACAAATACAATAAGTGTATTACAAATGATGGATTTAATGAGTGGGCAAACAAAAGAAAACATATTTTCTTTGTAGCCGGATTGTACACTATACATATGTCCCCTACTTACACATACATTGTACTTCTGCAGACACATATAACAGTATAGGCTGAACAACAATATATAACACTTCTTATGAAATAAAATTGATATAGGATTCAGGTGTCTTGTGGGAGTTACATTTGTTCGACTGAAAACAGTCTTGTGCATAATGTATATTAACAAAACACATCAAAAGGATCATGGAAGCACTCTATAATTTGAAAAACATGCACTTTTCACTAATTCAGAATTTCATACAATTTAGTGTGTGTTTCAATTATATTGGAATATGTGGTGGGACAATAAATGGCATTATTATCCAAGTTCATCAAAATAAATATCACACAGATCAAAAAATAGTGGATCCATGCAGGACAATAAATTAAATAGATAATTTATTTAAGCAAAATGATATTTACGCAACATGCATCATGATAAAGCAGTGTTTCCATCAAAACTGAATTCCACCATTACATAGATATGTGACCAATGAATAAATATACTGTACAAGGTTTATTGGCATATTACAGTTCATTGGCATTATTCTATTTCATTGTCTAATTTGCATAATTCTATTCATTGGCATGCTTTATTTTATTGACATTCTGAATATATATTGCAAACCATATTTCAGCTATCCATATTTTCCCAATCCCTACATTCAATATCCTTTATAATGTTAATAATGTGAAATTGCATCATAGCATTCAAAATGTGCAATTCGTCTTTTGAACAATGTCAAAAGCATTTACATGTGAAGTAGAACTGGATCTTACTAAGGAGTACACTTGTATAAATATGAAAAACATGATCTATTTGCGTATCCAGCAACCTTAATTGACTGTGTTTCCTTGACTCTAATTGGATTGTATTCTATGCTGATATCACTACATTCTCAATGGTTTTGATGGAAGGCTTCTATCAGCCCATTTGCCCACAAATGCATCTACATTCTCTTTAGAAATAGTTCCATCATGCGTATAAATCTTTTGGGTGCCAATGTCCAGTATCACCATGAGTGGAAATTTGTCCTCGATTCCTGCAAACTCCTTCACTGAGTCACATATTTCATCCTGAAAATTGTAAAGTTTATATTTATTCATTCATCTTTAAAATCATTCATTTAATTAATAACAATATTCATTCAACAGGCCGTAGCAAGGGAAGGTTGAGGAGTTCGGGCGAGCCACCCCCCCCCCCCCCGGCCAAAAATTCGTTCAAAATCCTGCAGTATTTCACAATTCAGAGTATTTTTCATGTCATGCGTATGACCAGAAATGGGGCAAGCGAGGGAACTGCCTCACAAAAAATTAATTTTTCAGGCCTTCTCCACATAAAACTGTGAAATGAAGTCCAAAAGTGCCATCTATTTACCTACACTTGCCACATCTATTAATTTAATCTATTAATCTATTAATCTATTAATTAGTCTTAAAACTGAACTCAATAAAATAGGCTAACTATATTAGTAAAGACATGCTCATATATTAACATGTACATTGTTATGCAATCTGTAACGTCAAAATCAATTTTACTCATATTTCAATTAACAACATACCTCTGCACCATAGAAGAAATGCAGATCTTTGTCATCTCCTTTCGCATGGTATATATCTGCCTGAGATTGCATGGAGGCAACTGCTTCATTTTTTTGGTCTTCTGTGTCTGAAATAGTTCCAACTCAACTCTTCATTCAATCAATCAATACACAAGAAAAAAAATTGGTAAATTTGAAGCAAGTTGAAAAAAATACCTTTTTGACCTTTTATAACCTTGAGGTCATTGAAGGTCAAATCTCAAATATTAGGTCAGATTTGAGCTTCTGATAACCTGTAGATGATTTTGAAAAAAGAATTGGTCAATTTGAAGCAAGCTGAGAAATACCTTTTTGACCTTTGTTGACCTTGAAAAGGTCTTTGAAGGTCAAAACTTAGATATTAGGTCAGATTTGAACTTCTGAAAACTTGTAGATGATTTTGACAAAATTGAAGTCAGTCTGAATAGTATTTCTTAAGTTATTGGAAGTTGTAAGAATTTGTTACAGACAACAACCGCCATCCATCGATCGCCAACCGCCACCCGCCGATCACCAACCACAAACCACCGATTGCTGTCACAAAAAATGGAGACCATAACAATATGTCACCACTTTTTTTTGGAGGTGACATAATTAGAATATCTTACCTGTAAATATAATGAGACAAGCACTCTCATTCAACACATCAGCTGACATTCCCGTTAGCTCATTGAGTGGTTTAGGATGGTATGGGAAGTCTTTCCCATCTTTATCCCCCATGACAGCTCCACGGCCATTTTTGGTAATCGTCTCTCCATTCTCATTTAGAAACACAAGACATGGGATACCTGTTAGCCAAACAAAGAGAACCATTAACATTATGTAGAACAAGCATGGTTAACTTGACATGCATTGTTCATAACAAGTTAAGTTTCCTTGAGAAGAGGGGGTAAATGGTGATTTCATAAGCAAATAGTGATGATTTTTTGAATATTCAAGTGAAAGACAAATCAACATTTACAAAGTTCTTAAGATGATGGGAGGTGGGCAAACCATATTGAAATTAACTTCATTTTTCAATGACTGTTGATAATTAGACACCATCCCTAAAGAATGATGAGCATGTATACCTTCAACACTGTAGGTCTGAGTAAGCTGATTCTTCCTAGGATCATTCCATGGTAAAGCCAACCAGGGCATTGTGCCAAAGTATTCATCAAAAGATTCCTGAGACCTAAAGAACACACACAGATCACAAATGACATTATATTCCAGGCCCGTCGCCAGGGGGGGGGGGGGTTCAAGCCAACCCCCCATGGCCAAAATTTCTTTCAAAATCATGCAGTTTTTTACCATTCTGACTATTTTTTGAGGGATATTTGGCCAAATTTGCCAAAGTGAACTCTCCCCTAGAATTTTTTGGAAAAGTGAACCCCCTTGGAAAATTCTGGCTACGTGCCTGTATTCAAACATTTACAACTGGTGCCATATGAAACAGATCTTTTTCTATATTTCCAAAAATATAAATAATGTACATTGGGAGAAATATATGTTGATCATATTAACATTATCATATTATTCACATGAAACAGGGTTTTAATGATCAAAGAATATTCTTGAGTACTTGTAACAAGGTTCTAATCATTATTTGGTGGCCGATCATGGTCTAATATGGTTACAACTTGATAGCTATGCCTTAATAACATTGACTTAAATGCTCTCCAAAATTTGTTTTTGCTCCACCGTATGAAGCAATGGATGACATCAATAACAAATCTGCAAAATCTAAATTGCCAGAAAGTGGTTAATGCATACCTGTCAGAGCTAGCAAAAATAATCTCAAACTGTTTTCCTTGTTCCTTCATCTTGTTGTAGAACTTTGCCAAGTTTGGTGTAAATGCCTTACATGGAGGACACTGCAATGAAACAGATGAATTTAATGTAGAGCTTTGCCAGGTTTGTTGTAAATGCCTTACATGGGGGGCACTGCAATGAAACAGATGAATTTAATGTAGAACTTTGCCAGGTTTGGTGTAAATGCCTTACATGGGGGACACTGCAATGAAACAGATAGATTTAATATAGAACTTTGCCAGGTTTGGTGTAAATGCCTTACATGGGGGACACTGCAATGAAACAGATAGATTTAATATAGAACTTTGCCAGGTTTGGTGTAAATGCCTTACATGGGGGACACTGCAATGAAACAGATGAATTTAATGTAGAACTTTGCCAGGTTTGGTGTAAATGCCTTACATGGGGGACACTGCAATGAAACATATGAATTTAATGTAGAACTTTGCCAGGTTTGGTGTAAATGCCTTACATGGGGGACACTGCAATGAAACAGATGAATTTAATGTAGAACTTTGCCAGGTTTGGTGTAAATGCCTTACATGGGGGACACTGCAATGAAACAGATGAATTTAATATTGAACTTTGCCAGGTTTGGTGTAAATGCCTTACATGGGAGACACTGCAATGAAACAGATGAATTTAATGTAGAACTTTGCCAGGTTTGGTACATATGCCTTACATGGGGGACACTGCAATGAAACAGATGAATTTAATGTAGAACTTTGCCAGGTTTGGTGTAAATGCCTTACATGGGAGACACTGCAATGAAACAGATGAATTTAATGTAGAACTTTTCCAGGTTTGGTGTAAATGCCTTACATGGGGGACACTGCAATGAAACAGATGAATTTAATATAGAACTTTGCCAGGTTTGGCGTAAATGCCTTACATGGGGGACACTGCAATGAAACAGATGAATTTAATATAGAACTTTGCCAGGTTTGGCGTAAATGCCTTACATGGGGGACACTGCAATGAAACAGATGACTTCCAATGAATAATTTTATCACAGGAAAATCCTTTTGATGAAAAGATGCCATCAAAAATCCCTGATGTCCTCAAAAGAGTCTGGGAAAAAATTCAAAACAGAGAAATTGCAGAATCATTTTTTCTGATTTGGAGTCCCTCACCGTGCTTTTATTGTAGGAAAAGGATATGGGCACATGGCGCACTGTAGACATATATAGGGTTCCAGATCATTTCCAAAAGTAACCATTTTATCTAACTATTACAAAAAATTAAAGCAAATAACAATTTCTAATTAAATCTACTGACTATTGCCTTCAATATCCAATATTTTGGCATGTGGCTGAGTTCCAAAAATCTTGACACTATTATGTCAAAGTGCTCAAGTCAAATGGTTTATTAATAATTGTTTTTGATTATTCATCTTGACATTATCACATTCAAGTAGGGATTGTTTTAAAATTGTGCCACATTTTTTCAAAATATTTCAGATTTTGACATATTTATCATATTTGAAATTAAATGATTCATAGAAAATTGCCACATCTAAATATTTTAAGATTGCGATCCAAGACACATATAGATGGCACTCATTAAATTTCTCTTTTGGGTTACTCTGTATTTAAACTCCAAAACGATATGCTTAGAATGACACTTACAATACAGTGTGGATCTTAGGATTTTTCTGTCACTCGACAAGTGGCAATTGACTAGTGTTTTCACACTCGCCAATGAAAAATAACATTGGCCACTGATAATAAATTATATGTATACTCACAGTTTTCTTGCCAATAAAAATTTTGGCAAAGTAATATGTTTATGACTGTACTAAAATTGACTTTGTTCTAATATTCAACAATGGCCAATTTTATGTTTTTCATGTTTTAGACAATGTGGTGAGGCACTTTAATTTTACACTCGACTCTAAATATTAACATATGCCTGCATCTGTGCATGGGGCTATTGTCGAATGGATATGACCCACACTGCAATATGGGAATTTCTTTAAGTAATCTATACAGTGAAGTACATGTATACAACAAACCCACTGAATTTACTTTACATAATATAATAGCCCAGGATGTTACTATGGAAGAGAGTAGCTAGTAAGTGTGACTCACCCAATGTGCTGAAAAGTAGACAGCGACAATCTTTCCCTTTAATGCCTCCCCTGCGTCTACCTCCTGTTTATCGTTTCTGATCAGATTTCCTTTGATGACCTCGTTGAAAGGTTTCGGTATCCATGGGAATTCCTTACCCTCTGGATCATCAGTGACTTTCCCGCGCCCCTCAGCAGTTATCATTTTGCCAGTATCAGCATCTAAGAATATCAGCGTAGGAATACCAGAAACCTTGAACTTTTTTGACAGGTTAGCCTGGAAATATAACACATTATGTAATTTGATGACATCAGGTCATAAGTGGAAGGGCAATTAGGAAGATATTATAAAGGGAAATTAAAAATTGATCAATAAAACTTTATTGACACTGGGAATCATATCTACATGTATAATCCATAATGTAGGCATTTTGATACTTTCATACACATGAACGTTTTTTTGATTTTCATGGCAAGAATTTTAACATTTCAAAAATACACTACAAAGATACCAGTGACATCTATAAAAACACTTTAACAGTAATTTCTAATTTTAGCGGTAAAAATGTTTAAATTCATCAAATTAGATAAAGTAGGGATACCAGATAGCCATTCTGATACTCATAGCATCTTTCTTTTTCACTTGAAACATGCTCTGATATTATGAGGCATATTCTGTGATCTGAGCACATCAGATGGGAAGAGTTATAACTGTCAATAAGTGTGATAGTTATCATGTAATCATTTACCTAATGTCAATACATTACATAATAGGCATTGTATTTAACAGCAGATATTAGCACAGGTACGTGTACACAAGTTTAATGACCCCAATTAAATGAAATATGAGCTGGGATGAAAGATCTCAAAAATCCCCAATTTTGGGCTCTCCTGGATCGCCAAATCAAGCTCATTATATCATGGCATCTCAGGGCTGAGAAGAAATGAGATGTCATGGTATATCATGATGCCAGATAGCAGATACACCAAGCTTTTTAGGAGATTATTGAATTGATTGAATAATATGCAATCTAATGAACGACTGACTCAAAGATAAATCTGTCAACAAAATGTAAACAATTGCAAAGAAAAAATAAACAAAATGATCAAGAAAAAATAAAATGATAAAGATGGGATGGTGCACTCTTATTTTTAGGAAGTGTAAGGTAAAGGTTGTACATTGAATTTGGATTGAGGAAAACACCTTTCATATTCACATGGGCTCTCTGAGTTAACTCACATACTTTACAATTATTCTGACTTTACTCTCCTTTGTCTTACATTGTCATAAAGGCAGAATCAGATCGAGCATGTATTCATCATCATATCATGATATTGGCAAAAATTGTATCAATTTTATAATATTTTGGGCTCAAATCATTCCTAGTCATGTCTTTTTTCTTATTATACCCAAAGTTAAACCCTGATTTTAGGACATCTAAATATTTTTACAATAATGAGTTCAATTGTCTAAAATGTGGTTACTATATAGAATGTAAAATATTTTGTACATTTTTCTTATGAAATGTATTTTGTTTTTTAGCAACTTTGATTAAAAGTGTGACTATAAACATGTATGGAGTTTATCGCATCCCACGACCCCTTTAGATTGTGGTCGTACGCACGTATAATTGGTCAGTCAATGTTTTTACAAAGTTGGAGAAAATACTACGCATTGCACACCTAAATGACCTACCTCAATACATTCCTTAGTATTTTAGAATTCTTTTTATGTTGTTAGATCGCCAATTGTATGGGTTTATCGGCAGAACGAAGAGATTTTAGTTTTTACATCGGAAATATATCAGCAATTTTCGAAATGTCGGAAGGGGAATTCCCCAGGGATTTCCCTTATGACTGGTGCATGCCGGGAACTGAATGGAGGAATTTGACGGTTGAAATAAGTTAAATATTACACGCAAATATTGCTATCAAAAACGAAAACCTCTTCGTTCTGCCGATAAACCCATACAATTGGCGATTCAACTACATAAAAAGAATTCTAAAATATTAAGGAATGTATCGAGGTAGGTCATTTAAGTGTGCAATGCGTAGTATTTTCTCCAACTTTGTAAAAACATTGACTGACCAATTATACGCGCGTACGACCACAATGTAAAGTGGTCGTAGAATTCGATAAGTATGGAGTCATTTATATCCATGTATAGTTCATATAACAAAAAAATGACGAGTCACTCTTGTGTCATTTGTCATATTGTAATGAGGTCATGGTGCTACATGTATGTGAGGATTTTATTCTATTACTATTTGCAAGTCATTGTCACCCCCCCCCCCTGTGGAAATCCTTTGAATGGGCACTTTTCATTGCAAGTCATTGCCACCTTGGGAACCCTTTGGATAGGCACTTTTCATTGCTTCAATTATATGTATTTACACTGGCCTTATGAAACACCACTTTCTATTACACTGACCTAATGAGAACTAAATAACAATGATAACATGGACTTATGATCATATAGTCTTTACACAGCATAGGCGTAGCCAGGGGGGTGATGGGTGCACCCCCATACCCAATGAAAATACAACGATTAAATAGAAAAGAGAGCTTTAAAATGCTTTTTACTTGAAGCTTCTAGCTCCATTTTGAAAGGAGGTGTTTTTGGGGGGGTTTGATCACCCCCCACCCCCTGCCTGGCAACCCAAATTTTTTTAGCTATCATACCCCCCTCTTAATTGGGCAACTATTTTTTCTTGTGCGTGTGCATGTTCTAAACCCGATTTCCTGGCCTGGCTACATCGGTAGAACTTGAAATATAAGGGTTACCTGCAAATTAGGAGTCTTACTTACCCCTTAGAGGTTACAACACACATTTCAATGACACCATATTAGCTTTGTTTTGTTCATGATGAAGCATAAGCACAGTACTGATTGAAATTTGTGTAAATGCTTTTTCGACTATTCAATTTTCCTCGTGTTCTTCTGGGAAGGCGTTGCCCCTCTCACGAAATAATTTATTGTCCTTGAACTTTAATTCTGTGACATGTCATCCAAGCATGTCTGATGCGAAAATAATTCAAATATCAGTAAATAATGTTTTGCGGTCGTTTGCAGACAAGTTTAGGACAGGGCAGAGGAGGATGGCCTGTTCTAAGATTGGAGAAACTGCATGATCTTCAGTTGAACTATTGGTCTGAATGGAATGCTGCCCAGAAAGTATGATCTGCTGTATTGGTCTATTAATACAGTAGGACCTGTTCCTGATGCTTTATAATTTAGACCAAAGTCAAAGAAGAATACACACACATGTTAATTTTAAAAATAATGAACAAACATTCAATTTTCACAAATGTTCGGTAATTAATTGTATTGAAACTTCCGGAACTTACAAAGAAATCATTCATTTTCACGGTACATATTTTACCTCTTGGATGTTGTGCTAAATGCTCTATAGTTGACGCAACAAAGGTGATAGGGTTTCATTAAAATGTGTGTTCTAGCCTCTAGAGAGTAAGTAAGACTCCTAATTTGCAGGTAACTCTTATATTTCAAGTTCAACTGACGGAGTCGGGCCAGGAAATCGGATGTAATCATGAAATCTTACCTTCTTATCGCGTTGATCAAAAGCGAGAGCTGGGAAAGGCATTTCACTCAGATATTCTTTAAACTCTTCTTCATTTTTATCTGAGCTAACAAAAACTATTTCAAGACTAGATCCCTTCTCCGAAGCTTTGAATTTGGTATAAAAATTTGCCAATTCTGGTGTAAAAGCTCTACAGGGTGGGCACCAGTGGGCTGAGAAATAAAGTCCAACAACTTTGCCCGGTCCACTGAACGAGTTAACATCAATTGATTTGCCATCTTTGTTCACGACTGTAGACCCTAGCATACTCTCCATAGCCTGCATAGTTGTCATCAGTTTCGATGAAGCAGTTAATGTGTTATTCAGCGAAATACAAGGAAATAAGTTGTAAATTGTTTCTAAACTAACACAGGAAACAACGACTGTGCGCATGCGTAATTGATAATTTTGTGATATATACGTTTTCTTGTTGTTCTATAGATCTACTATTTTTGATTAGTAAAAATCAAATCAAATATCAAATGATTCTGTATTTCGTCTAAACACTACGAAAAGTACCATTTTACTATTTTTATCAAAACCGGAAGTATTCACTCCGTAATTTTAAAAGCATGTTTTTCGGAAAAATATTTTTCTCTCAAATAATATCAAATATTAGATTGAATTGAAGTTTATCAGGGTAGACAATGTCTCGCATAATCGTGAAAAACCTCCCTTCTGGTGTAAGTAGATCTATACTTAGCATATGGCTGCTTACATTGATTTCGCTAATTTCTCTAAATACTCAGAATAAAAATTGTAGCCCTAGCCAATACGGTACCGGATGTCGACTTTTGGCTTGCAACCGAAGGTACCTCAAGAAAACCCGGAGATTGCAGAAGACTTTCTTTGCAAACAAAGTTGGTTGAGGGTACCACGAATGTGAAGAGGACGTCTCTAATTCGTCAAAAAGAGAGGCTCGGCATTCTCCGTCAGATTGAATCGACAAAATTTGGTTGTATGGCTTACCTTCGGTTGTATGTCTTACCTTCCGCTACATGGCCCAACCTGGACTGAATGGAAAAGATGCTGTCCCATACGGTACCATGGGTTTTCAAGAAAGCCCAATGCCGAACCAAACAGTGAATGCATCGGTGAACTCACTCATTTTGTTAATGGGATTTCCAATATCCGCGTCGCCCCATCTGTACAAATCCGGATTGTCCAGATCCAATCCATCTGAAACCCAATCGTTTGAATGCCAGTGGTCCGAATCCCAATGAATCAAAATCACGATTTTGAGAAGTTCTACTTTGAGCCCATTATATATACCGGTTATGAAGGTGAAATTCCCTTACATATCTTTGTGGTTATTACTTGTAGGTCATGCATGGGTCTCGCGATCTGGTTGGTCCATTTGCGAAATAAAGCACTCCACTTCTGTTTTACAAGTTATTGCCAAAACTGGATAATCATGATAAAGATGCGTATTATTTTTTTGAAAAAATCACAAATTTTTAAAATTACCTCTCGATTCATGGCCAAAGCCCAATCGTCTGTATTAATCCAAAAGTAGAAGTTTGGACCAATTATTACCAGTATTGATACTGATCTCAAAGTCCCAATATTGAAAAAATGGAGCATGCTTCAGGATTAATATTTGACTTTTTACGTACATGAAAGGATAAATGAATGTGAGACTTGAAGACAAAAATAGATCTACATGTAGTTACTTCTCGGCTTATAACATGAAACTTCTCTTTTATTCTTCAGATAAGTGACACCAGACTACGCAATATCTTCAGCGCTTATGGCCACATAACTGACTGCTCACTGAAGTACACTAAAGATGGTGTATTTCGCAAGTTTGCATTCATCGGGTTTCAGAAGTTGGCTGAAGCAGAAGCTGCTGCTAAACACTTTGACAAGAGCTTTATTGATACTTCAAAGTTAGAGGTTCGTACATACATAATAAAGATGAGTTAATTATTTTGTTTCAAGGTATATGTGGATAGAGATTCAACAATTGATTTACATTTAAATTAATTAAATTAATTTAAATTCTGCATTCATTCTTACATAGATTATATTTAAATTTTTTAATAGAATTCCGGTCATCTGAGAAAGAACTCAAAACAAGCATGGTTAATAATGTCATATTGATATAAGTATCCAACTTTTTTGTGATGGCATCCCGTGGTTGGTGTTAGGTGTCTGAAACAAATGGCATGAAGTGACATTTTGCGTGTTAATGTCTTGTTATCTTTACCAAATCCTCAAAGCAAGAGTCATTTTGTGTGATCCAGCCATCTTTAGTAAACACGTAGCCTAAATTGAGGTGGTTCAAGGTGTTTAGGTATTCAATCTGCTTGGCTCATGGCTCACACCAAATTTTTATGATAGGTTACACTGGCTCGTGATCTTGGCGACTCTAACAAGCCAAGAGCTTGGAGCAAATACTCCAAGGACAGCTCTGCTTTCCAACGCTGGCAAGCAAGGCAGCAAGCCAAGGAAGCTAAGCGAGCTGCAGATGAGAAAACCAAGAAGGGGAAAAAGCGAGAAAAGAAAAGGGGAAAAAGTGAAAAGGTGGATGATTTACTGGGAGAGGTAAGAGGCTTATGTTCTGTTTCTCTCTGTTGACTGTCAGTATTTGATAAAAACCTAGTATTGTCCTTTCTTAAAGGCCCCATGTAAAGTTTGGAAATATGTCGTTTTCATTCATTTATTTACTTAAATATCATGACTTTGAGATTTTGAAAAAAATGTTTGACCTAACACTGACAATTCATTTAGGGTGCAATATAGATCTTCAATTCAATTAAACAATTAGCACTTCTAAATACAATGTTTTTTTAATACTTGAGGCAACTTTTAAAAGACGAGTGCCTCATTTTCATGAGTTTCTCACTCAGACCATAGTTTCTAGATCCTGAATTTAAGTATTTTATATTTGCTTTCCAGTTAAAAGACGACCCAGAATTTCAGGAGTTTCTAAATGCCCACCAAGCCAAGAGTACAAAGTCAACATGGAGCAATGATACTGTTGCTATGCAACACAAGGGTGCAGAAGCAGAATCAGACTCGGGAACTGAAATGGAAGTGGAATCAGTTAAAACAAAAGAAAAGGAGACCTCCAAAGATAAAACAACTAAAACAAAAGTAAATTCTGATGCAAAAGAAGCTAAAACTAAATCCCAAAAATCTAAATCAGAACATGTAAATACTACCAAAGAACCGACAGACTCCAATGTATCTGATATGGATTATTTAAAAAAGAAATCTGCAACATCTAATTTGAGTGACTCAGATTCTGAATCAAGTTCAAGTGATGAAGATAATACAAGAACAAAATTGAAACCTAAAAAATTAACAAAAAGCAATAAAAAATCTAAAATAAAAGGAAATAGAACTGGAGATAATTCTGATTTTAGTGATGATAGTTCAGATGACCAGTCAGGAGACTCAAATTCTGACCAATCAGACAACTCAGATTCTGACCACTCAGATTCTGACCAATCAGAAGGCTCTGATTCTGACCAATCAGAAGACTCAATCCCAGACATAAAATTATCTCCTAAAGATAAATCAAAAAAATCTAAGTCATCTGAAAAAGATAAAACTCGCCATGTTTTAAAAATCCGTGATCTTCCAAGAAATTCTTATGCAAAAGAGATTCAAGAGTTTTTCAAACCAATTAAGACAAAAGACATTAAAATCCCTGGTGCTGCTAAGAAAAAGACAATAGGTGTTGCATACGTGGAGTTTAAGACAGAAGCTGATTTATTAGCTGCCATGAAGAAAAATAAAAGTAAAATTGGTAAGAATAATAAATTGAATTGAATTGAAATTGAATTGAATTGAAATAAATTGAATTGAATTGAACTTGCATTTATTTGAAATAATTATTTATCAAATAAAGCATGATTTCGTTGAACCAGAGGGTATGGCTTGATTTAGTGAATATACATTTTAACAGAAGGATACATTCTAAAGCGTCTTTTTTAAACACCCAATGATGATCAAACCCTGACCCTTGATTATATAGTGAGAGGTCATGATTAGTCTTTCTGAGGGTATAGTCTTAATTTTCCTTCATATGTGTTACATATGATTTAGGATTACTTGCCACATGTGTGTCATTAAAATGTTGATAACAATGTAGAACATGGACATTTAACGTAAAAATCCCTAAAAACAAAAGTCAATTTTAATAAAAATGAAGACAATGGTGAAAATTACCTGTTTCCTGTATTGTGCATTTAAATCAAATATATTTTGATTGATTTTCCTTTAGGTAACAAGAGAATCCATCTTATCAGGAAGTTGGAGGAAACAGAAGAAAGTAAAGTGGAGCCAGAAAGACCCTTGAAACCATGGGAGCTAAAGGTAAACATAAAAATACATGATTTTGCAATTATTGACATAGCACAAGTGAAGAGGCAACACAATAAAATATTATCTTTGCTTTAAGCCAAATTTAAAAGTGAGGTCAGGGGGTCCATTAGCAACAGGCAACAGGCGATTTTCACCAGTTGTTTTCACAAAATCGGCTGTTGTTTTAAGGACTTTTTTTTAACTTTTCCATGTTTAATTTATGATTTGCATTAATTTTGCCTGTTGTTTTCACTTATTTAGCCTGTTGTGAGAAATTCTAGTGAAACCCCTGGATGTTCAATATTTAGGGTGAATGTTGTCTTCAATTTTGAACTGAGTTAACAATCAATAAGATATTCATTGACAGCCAATGATGAAACTGTGACGGGCGGACTGAAGCCAATGTACAAAGGCATCTACAATGTTGACCGTCAATTCTGAGGTTACATGTTACAAAATTAGTACAAGATATCAATCAGATTTATAGAGGCTTTAATACATTTACCCATGTGTGCTTCATTATAAAATTTGTTTAAGAGTTACCATGATACCCAATATGTTTTGTTTTGTTTCCATAGCAACAGCAAGAAGATGAAGAGTTAGAAACAATTGCTGAGTCAGGACGTCTGTTTCTGAGAAACTTGCCATATGTGTGCAAGGAGGAAGATATTGAACAAATGTTTTCCAAATATGGTAAGATTCTAACTGTTAATATGGCAAACCTTTAAAGGCCCAGGGTACAGTTTGAAAATATATTTTTATGATTCATTTACTATATTTCATGACCTTCTGAGATATTTTAGAGATTTTTGATAAAAAGTTTTTGAGGAAAAAACTTTTAACACCATTGCGAAGATCGAAAAAAGAACAAACTACTTCAATAATAACTTTCAAAATAATCCAATGTTGTTTGTTTAACTAGATTGGAAATAAGAATATATTATGTTTTAAATATAACTGAACCATTGATTTATCTGTGAGCTAAAAATTTAAAATGCATTATTCACGTTAGGATTAATGCCAAGCACTGGTGTGAATTGTGTTAAATGATATGTGTATGCTCTAAAATTTAGGTTTTAATAAATTCACAATTTTTCATACAAAAAAGTCTTTACAAAAATTTTTGAAATTTAAAAAAGTGTCACATATCACATTTTAATAACATTGGGTAGGACTACAATATAAGCCAAAGTTGTTCAAACTTTATATGGGGCCTTTAAGGGATGCTTATAATATAAAAACATAAAAATTAAACAATCTTTCACTACCCTTAGGAAAAAACCCATGTTTTTACATGCGTGGCGAAAGAGGGCACATGTTCTTACTTTACTTCACTTTAGTTCGCTTCATTTTGCCCCATGTGTGGCGTGGCATGTTGTTGTAAAAACAAGAGATGGCACTCTTGATTTTACTCCACTTTTACACAGGGCAAACTGTGGCAGAGCATGAACAATGTGGCAAAATCATGTAACTCTTGTCTTGCTTTTACATGAATCCGCCATGTTTTCCCCACTGTGTTTAAGTATGGGGAATCGTGGTTACATGAATTAACATGAAATGTAGTACATTTTAGAGAAAATAGAGGGACTTACTTATGCTCCTTAATTCACCTGGTTAGATTTTTTTTCATTCTATTTTTATTATTTTACATTTCTGACAGTTTTTAGCATTAAGGAGCCCTAACCAAATAAACTATGAAAAGGCAGATTTTCTTTTGGAAACCAACATCTCGAGTTGATCATATTTTCATATTCTAAAACTGCATCCATGAACCTGTAGTTAAAGCTGTATATAGTAGAAAATTGAACCTGTAGTTGAAAGTTTTACAAGTAATTGAACCTATAGTTGAACCTGTAGTTGAGAGTTTTACATGAAACTGAATTGAACCTATAGTTGAACCCGTAGTTGAAAGTTTAACATGTAATTAAATAGAACCTATAGTTGAACCCGTAGTTGAGAGTTTAACATGTAATTGAATTGAAACTATAGTTAAACCCGTAGTTGAGAGTTTTACATGTTATTCAATGAACCTATAGTTGAACCCGTAGTTGAGATTTTTACATGTAATTGAATATAACCTATGGTTGAATCCGTAGTTGAGAGTTTAACATGTAATTGAATTGAAACTATAGTTAAACCCATAGTTAAGAGTTTTACATGTTATTCAATGAACCTATAATTGAATCTATAGTTTGTCAGTTTAGTTGAAAATAGAACCTATAGTTGAACCTGGCATGGTAGTTTAGAGTTTTACATTTAATTGAATAGAACCTATAGTTGAACCCATAGTTGAGAGTTTTACATGTTATTCAATGAACCTATAATTGAACCTATAGTTTGTCAGTTTAGTTGAAAATAGAACCTATAGTTGAACCCGTAGTTGAGAGTTTTACATGTTATTCAATGAACCTATAGTTGAACCCGTAGTTGAGATTTTTACATGTAATTCAATAGAACCTATAGTTGAACCCGTAGTTGAGAGTTTAACATGTAATTGAATTGAAACTATAGTTAAACCCACAGTTGAGAGTTTTACATATTATTCAATGAACCTATAATTGAACCTATAGTTTGTCAGTTTAGTTGAAAATAGATCCTATATTTGAACCCTTAGTTTAGAGTTTTACATTTAATTGAATAGAACCTATAGTCTAACCCGTAGTTGAGAGTTTTACATGTTATTCAATGAACCTATAATTGAACCTATAGTTTGTCAGTTTAGTTGAAAATAGAACCTATAGTTGAACCCGTAGTTGAGATTTTTACATGTAATTGAATAGAACCTATAGTTGAACCCATAGTTGAGAGTTTAACATGTAATTGAATTGAAACTATAGTTAAACCCACAGTTGAGAGTTTTACATGTTATTCAATGAATCTATAATTGAACCTATAGTTTGTCAGTTTAGTTGAAAATAGATCCTATATTTGAACCCGTAGTTTAGAGTTTTACATTTAATTGAATAGAACCTATAGTTGAACCCGTAGTTGAGAGTTTTGCATGTTATTCAATGAACCTATAATTGAACCTATAGTTTGTCAGTTTAGTTGAAAATAGAACCTATAGTTGAACCCGTAGTTTAGAGTTTTACATGTTATTTAATGAGCTTATAGTTGAACCCGTAGTTGAGATTTTTACATGTATTTGAATAGAACCTATAGTTGAACCTGTAGTTGAGAGTTTAACACGTAATTGAATTGAAACTATAGTTAAACCCGTAGTTGAGAGTTTTACATGTTATTCAATGAACCTATAATTGAACCTATAGTTTGTCTACATTTGCAGGTTAACATATTAATATGCCAAAATTTAAACAAAATATCCTACTGAGTTTGTTTACTTCTCTTAATTGGTATTTGTTTATTTAACCGCCACACTTTGCCACGAAATGCCTGAACTTTTTCAGTTTTTGCTTTACTTTGCTCCATTTAGCCACAAGTTTCTTATATATTCTTCCCAATGTCCACATTTCACATGAAATATTGAGGACTAACTATGTATAATCAGAAAAAATATGTTGCAAGTGGTTTTTCTCCAAATTAATAATTTCACATAAATCACATAATTGAATCTGTGCCTGTTAAATATTAAATAATATATTAATAATATTTGAATTTTACAATAACAAATAAAATTTTTTTTTTTTTAAATTATTTTTTTCATTTATTTGAACCTTCAGTCAAACCCGTAGTTTGAAGCTTAACCCTTTTTGAGAAAAAGTATCATCTTCAATCATCAAATTTTCATATGTTAATTCAATTAAATAAATTGTGTCATACTCCTTTCTTTGGTGAGTTTTCTGAGAGCCATTATCTATTTTTAATTTATTTGAGACTGAGCTCTTCTCAATTGATTCTTAATTCTTGCTGATTTGGTGGTGATCTGTTGTTCCCGAAATTTGATTTAATACTGGATCATACTGTGTTAGCATTGGTATATATAGGATCTGAAACTTTAATCCTATTAATTAATCCATATTGAGTATCAGTAATTAGTTAATAAATGAGGGTGGGGGTAGCATTGTTCTAAAACTATGACAATTCCCTTTAATAATAAGAGTTTTACATGTAATTGAATTGAACCTATAGTTGAACCCGTAGTTGAGGGTTTTATATCCAAGAGAATTGAACCTATAGTTAAGTGAATGACATTGTTCAACTGAACCTTGATGCTTTCAGTCAATCTTTGAACATTTAAACTGAGTCATTACATTTTTCTTTAATTGTTCAATTATTTCAATTTTTGATCAATAATTCTACTGGAACAAGAAAAATGTTTTTATTAATTTCTTAAAATAGCAATTTATTATTTTATAATCTGATCAAATTCACGTCTGCAGGTTAACATGTTAATATGCAAAAATTTAAACAAAATATCCTACTGAGTTTGTTTACTTTTCTTAATTGGCATTAGTGTATTTAGCCGCCACACTTTGCCATGATATGCATGAACTTTTTCAGTTTTTGCTTTACTTTGCTCCATTTAACCACAAGTTTCTTATATATTCTTCTCAATGTCCACATTTTACATGAAATATAAGGACTAACTATGTAAATCAGAGAAAATATGTTGCAAGTGTTTTTTCTCCAAATTAATAATTACAGATAAATCACATAATTGAATCTGTTTCACTAAATTATTTCATTACTTGTAATACTATACAGAATTAAAAAATATCATTTCACAATGATGCATCCCTAAACATTAATCTTGAGTTAAATTTGAATCTGTAGTTGAGAGTTTTACATGTAATGGAATACAGTTGAACCCATATTAACCCATGTTCAATTACCTAAATGCGAGTAGGTAGTTACCAGTTTCACCACCAGGTGGCTGATTCGGGTCAATTAACATGGCAGGTATATAAGAAAGTTCCCTTAAACTTGAATATTATCAATTTAAGTGGCTCAATTTTCATATAACCCTTATGTGTCTGATACTTATACTAATGAAAATATGTCCAGTAAAGCAAAATATTATCTGTTCACTAAAAGAAAAGATATTTCATTTTTTTGTGATTTTATAGCATGGGGTCTATGGCGAATCTCCCCGAGCTAGAAGTCACATTTTCAAAGAAAATAAATTTTTCAAAGTTGATAACACTTTTTAAAACCACATTTCTAGATGTAATTTTACATGTAGATTTCAAATATGATATTACTTTGACTGAATTTTGAATAATGACGTAAATCAAGATTATTTCTACTCGCATCTGGGTTATTGAACCATGGGCTTTCAACTAGAAAGCCCATGATTGAACCTATAGTTGAACCTGTAGTTGAGAGAGTTTTACATGTAATCGAATTGAACCTATAGTTAAACCCGTAGTTAATGGTTCTACATATTATCCAACTATAGGTTCATTGAATAACATGTAAAACTCTCAACTACAGGTTCAACTATAGTTTCAATTCAATTACATGTAAAACTCTCAACCACGGGTTCAACTATAGGTTCAATTTAATAACATGTGAAACTTTAAACCAAAGGATGAACTGAATAATATATTATACTCTAAGCCATGGGTTCAACATAGGGTAAACTTAGAAAATTTCACACTACGGGTTCAACTATAGGTTCAAAAGCCCTCAAGTAACGGGTTCAAATTTCAACTAAACTGACAATCTACAGGTTCAATTAAATAACAAGTAAGTTCAAACTACGAGTTCAACTATAGATTAAATTTTCAACT